CAAACTCACAGGAATAAAGATTAGAACAAAGATTAATGTTGCCTGAGGCTGAGAGACTGGAAATGGGAGTTGTTATTCACAGATACAAATTTTGATTTATTGAAGATTAATAAGTTTCAGAGATCCACTGTACAACATTGTGCCTGTTGTTAACACTCTTGTATTGTGCACTTAAAATTTTAATGAAAACATGGCTAGATCTCATGTGAAGTGTTCTTACTATAGTAAAACAGTAATGGGAACAACAATAAAAATATATTTGGGGGTCAGTTGGAGAAGGTGAAAATGAATGGGGTATTAACAATCTCATCTCTTGACAGGCTTCTGGAGTATGCTTCTTTGGTTTATTTTCAAATAAAGCTGTGATGTAAACATTTTTCTGCTCCTCATATTTTAAAGATTGAGACTCCACTTACCTTTGGACAGGGGATCGGGCAGTGGATTGTCCTGTATACTATGTGGCCCATGGGACGGAAGAAAGTGAAAACCTGGGGACTCAAGGTAGTTTGGGAGGGAATCTGAGGGCAGGCCTCTCACACAACTCTGATGCCACCATGTGATTTTCCCCGGCCCCCTGTACCTACACAGTGCCTATGGACCTGGCCATGCCATTCCAGATCATCCCCAGCGCCAGGAATCCAGCCTGGAATCCTGTCCTTCTAGAAATTCCTAATCCAGTCTCACAAAACTCACAGGTCTCAGGTGTTCTGAGTCTAGTATCTGTAGCCACTGTTACCTAAAGCAGGTCAGCTCCACCAGGGAACTAGAGGTGCCATTCCATGGGCCTCACTGGAGACCTACAGAATCATAACTTTTCAGATAGGGCCCTGATTCCCAAGGGTTCTGCATGTGAATTAAAGCTTCAGAAGAAATGCTTAGCTACATGGTCTCCTTCCATTAGATCACTTGATGAGTTGTAAGAAATAGCATTACTGTGCCCTCCCCCACAGAGTTGGACAACTGGTTTGGCTGAAACTTTTTTTTTTAAGGAATAAAACACTTTTAATTTATTTGTCATTAAATAAGATTTTAAAAGTGACAATTTAAAGAGCGACTAAGAAGAGTCCCACATCCATCATGGGCTCATGGTTCTAGTATCAGAAACAGAACAGAAAAAGCACTGAGAATACGGAAAACAAGTGTGTGTGTAGATGGCTGTGTTACACTACTGCACCTGCTTCAAGTTGCAGCTTGAATAGCACCTTGACCAGGTGCAGGCCCTGCCAGGCACAGACCCCCCCATACCTCCCCACCCCAGCACAGGCCCTACCAGGCACAGTCTCTAGGCGTGTGCACTGCTGCCCAGGGCCTCCTGGAAACTGTCAGAGGTGCCTTTGAAGGCTCTCTCCCACAGCCCTGGTGAAAGTGGCCTTTCACTCCCACAGTGCCCTTTGAGGGAAGGGGGGAGTAGGGGGTGGTTTCAAAGCTGTTGTTTTAGTGTGGAATTGACAAGGGTCACAATAACAGGCCAGAGGTCGCAAACATCCCTGTCCACCTCCACTGAGGGTCCAGCCTCACCTGACCTTTCCTCAACCCAGACAACCACCCAGGCCGTGTCCTCATAGAGGCGAGGGAGCCGGGTCCCACACCAGCCCTGACCTGCCATGGCCCAGCCCAGGTTCCTTCCTCCAACCAGGTGTCTGGGAACCCTTCCAGCTGAGTGCCAGCCCAGCTTGCACCTGCACCCCAGTAGGCTCCCTTGGTCTCTTCCTGTTTGGGGGCCGTTTTGGTCCAGATGGCCACAGAAGAGAAGTCCTCCGCAGGCCCAGCCGGCGCTGGAGAACAGCAGTCGGGCAGTTGCCACTCACCCCTCACTCCTGGAGGTGCAGGCCTCAGTCTGGGCCTATGTTCTGTGATAGGCCTTCAGTGGGGTCTCCAGCCCCCTGCAGCCCCCTGCTCCCCAGTCAGGAGGCCATCAGGAGAGCAGAGCCCCTGCCTGGTCCCAGGGGGCAACTGTGCAGGATTTGCTGAGCTCCTCTGGGCACAGAGCAGCGTCCATGCCCGTGAGGCCTCCAGACAGGTGTGGGCGAGGCCAGCTGCCTCCCTGCCACCATGTCGTCAGACTGCCTCTGTTTCCCCTTCCTTCCCTTCATCCGATAGTAGGAGCCCCTGAAGAGCCGGATGTGGGGGGTGGGAGTGGGGGACAGATTCCATTCTCTCAAGACAGACCTAGGGCAGAAGTCTGGAAGGTGCACACTCCAAAGGGGTCTCCAGAAGACAGAAGGGAGGAGGGAGCCTGGCGGGAAGGGACCGCTGGGTTCAATGCTCTGACACAGTCTGTGTCCCTTCACGGGGGAAGCTGAGCGGCCCTCGGCATGCAGCCCTGGCCTGGCCCCAGGTGTGCGGTGTGGGCAGCAGGGCCCACCCCATGTCCCTGGGTCCACGCTGTGGGCTTCCTCTCTGGACAGGTGACTTCAGAGTTTACCGAGAGGCCCTTGGACAGGTGAGCCTTTGAAAGAATCTGCACTCTTCTGCTGACTCCTCCAGCTGCCCAGTGAGTGTGTGGCTGGCGGGTGCTGAGTGGGCAGGAGCGGCGCTCCCAGGGGCCTGAGGCTAGACTCAGACACAGCTCCGCGCTCATCCCACGCAGGGGAGAGGGCAGATCAGAGCGTGAGGGGCAGGGAGACGGAGGCCCGCTCCTCCCGGCGCACTCCCACAACCCTTCATCCGATGCTACCCCACTGTCCCCTCAGTCACTCGGGGCTCGACTGCAGGAGAAAGCAGTGAGCCGGCACTCCTCTCTGTACACCCAAACCACCGTGTCTTTAAGACGCCAGAGAAAGGACCCCTGTGAGCGCCCCCCAGCGTCACAGGGTGTGCAGGACTCTGCGTCTAGGGGAGCTTCACGGGGATGGACAGACAGACAGCTGAGGGAGAGCTGCAGAGGAAACAGTGACAGGATCTGATGGAGTTACAAGGGAACCCAAATGGAGATGACTGAGACACAGCGCGGGCCGAGCAGGCCGCCAGATTGGACGGACAGTGAGGAGGAGGAGGAAAGTGTCTCGGAACTGGAGGAAGGAGGATGACCAGGGCCGCCCCAGGCCCAGGCCTGCATTCCTGCCCGCCCTGCCCGCGGCCCAGCCAAGGGAGGTGTGCAGGTTCCACACAGGCATCTGAGCACTGTCATCAGCAGGCGCACAGTGGGTGCTTCCTGTCACCTCCCAGTCAGATTCACTGCAAAGGACCGGTCCACGACCCGGCCACTGAGTGCCTGCTGCTCAGTGCCAGGCTGCCCAGTGCCAGGCTGCTCAGTGCCACAGCTGCTCAATGCCAGGCTGCTCAGTGCCAGGCTGCTCTGCATCACGGCTGCTCAATGCCAGGCTGCTCAGTGCCAGGCTGCTCAGTGCCAGGCTGCGCCGCGCCTGTGTTTTGCTGAACGTCCTCAGCGGAGTGTCCTTGTGAGCCCTGGGGGGACGGCGTGCTTCTCGCTCCACCCCACGCTTATCCACCCACCCCGCACTTAACCGTTCAAAACTAAGGAAGGACAATTAGTGTCAATGGGTTAAAACAAGTGCCGTTTGAGCATTTCAAAAAGACCCGAACACCTAGGATTCAGCAAACGGGAGTAACTAAAAGAAATAAAAAACCAGTTGCCAGGGTGACGTGTGTTCATGAGTAGACACGAAGGAAACCCATTTCCCAAAGGGCACCCCAGGTCCGAGAGGCCTGTCTTTCCCCTGCCCGCCCGCACACGGCTGCTCCGGGCCTGGGTTAGATTAGGGAGGCAGGGTGTGAACGCTGGGCTGGGGAAGATGGAAGACCGTTTTCTCCCCTGGAGACCAGCCTGATTGGAACAAATTGAGGACAAAGCAGGCGGGGCCTTCCCGTCCTTGGGAGCAAACCTGCTCCCCGCAGGAAGGGGCGGGGCAGCGACACGGTCCTGCCACACAGGGCCCCCAAGTCATTGCCCATCAGAGACCCTTTACTGGTGCTGCCGCCGAATGAGCCAGAGGTGGAGCCCCGGCTGGAGGGCAGTGAGCTGCCGCTGGGGGCCTGCAAGGCGAGGGGCTCAAGCGGCTAACTGGCCGGGCTGGTGTCCCCTGTCCCCGGCTACTCGCTGTTTGCCTCCTCCAGGCTGCTCTGCTGCCCCGGACACTCGAAGTGAACACAGTGGAACACCTCATTTGCTGTGTTGTGTGTTCCAACCATTCGGATGAAGGAGGCAGGCTGTCTTTCAAAAGTGACCGGCTGCCAGGACTTGCAGGAGACTTCAGTTCTGTCGGCCACCATGGTCCACTGTGGCTGGGTGGTGGAAACCTCAGTGTAGTAGCTGTAGCTTCCATCATCACATCCCAAAGTAACAGCCGTATTGACCCAATCATGTACGGCTGTGCCAGCTGAACCACAATGGCCCCGCTTCCTAGCTGATGGCATGTGTAGCCAGAATCCCAGTCATATTTCTTGCTGTCCCCGTTCAGCAAGGCATTTCGGCTCCGACTGACTCCTTCAGTCACACTGGCACAATCAGCAATCGTTGCGACATTCTCCCTGGGAACTATCAGGCCCTTCTCGAGAGTGAAGGTTTGGTTTGTAAACATACATTCAAAAGCCACAACGTGAGAAATCTTGTTCACTGTGTTGTGAGTCCCAACTATTCGGATATATCCGTGGCTGAAGTGCAGGTGGAGGTGCGGACTTGTGGAGTCAGGGAGAGGCTGGGGAGCGGAGCAGGTCGGGGAGAGGTGGCCGGGAGTCTGGCCAAACATCATTTTTTTAATGTTGTGCTCCAGGTGATTCAAAATTGAGGCCAATGTTTAGTGGAAGGGCTCTCTGCCCCAGTTTATTTGTGAAGAGCTGGCTTTGGTCCAGGGGAGGTAACTGGGTGCTCTGTTCTGGGAGCAGAACAGTCCACATTGTCATTGCAGTGTCAGAATTTGTGCATGTGTTGAAGGGTAGAGCACAGGAAAGAAAGTAGAGAAAAACTCAGTTTGGTCTTCATGTGGGATCTCATCGTTTCTGAATCTCTCCTGTGACAAAGGACAAGGGAGTGACATTTTTCATCATTTCAAGTTCCTTCTGCCTGTGAGCGTGGTGGAAGCAGAGGAAGAGGCTGTGCTTAGGCCTTTGAAAGCATATCCTCAAGACGCAGATGTGATTCTGCAACATAAGACGCCTGAGGAAACCACCCGGAGCAGGAGGAGGAAGAGGACAACATGGCTGCTCCTCAGGTAAATGCCCTGTCTTGGGTCAGTTCTGTGTTTGTATTTCTTTCTAAAGTTCTTGGATTTAGAAGCTGTAAACCTTTACTTCTCTACTTTGATGGTCCTTCCTAGTGAGGTGGTTTTCAAGTACTTACTTAGTTTTTCTTATGATTGTCTGTTACCTCTTTAAAATGCTACTGGCATTTGAAAATTTTCAGTTTCCCAAGATGTAAATCAAGAGGAACCTTCAGAGAAAATTCTGGGTAAATTTTATTAGGCTTATGCTGAGCATAAAGAACAACACACCGAAGACTGGAAGGTCCTCTGAACCAACTCAAGGATGGCTCTGATTGGCTGCTTTAATAAGCTTGGGACAAAGTGCGCCTTTTGAAAAAGGCCTGTTGGTGGAAATTTCCGTTTCAGGGTGGAGTGATTTCCTTTTACAACTGGGTTGCCTGGTTGTTGGCGCCTGTGCTGTGGGGGAAATAATGATGGTGTAGTTCACTGGAGCCACCCCAGGAAGGTCCTTCAACTGCTCATGTGCATCAGCAGTTTCGACATCTATAACGATGCAGGCCTTTAGGAAGGAGATATTGTCAGCTACCTCTGGGATTTTGAATGGGGGTTGAGGTGTGGTGACATTTCTATACTGTCTCAAGAATATTTTTCTCTTATTTACTTATTTAAATTGTTATTTTTTAAAAATATATTTTTATTGATTTCAGAGAGAAAGGGAGAAGGGGAGAGAGAGAGATAGAAACATCAATGATGAGATAGAATCATTGACTATCTCCTGCATGTGCCCTTGACCGGAATTGAACCCATGACCCTTCAGTCCACAGGCTGACGCTCTATTCATTGAGCCAAACCAGCCAGGGCTATTTTTCTCTTTTTAAAAAAAATATATTTTTATTGATTTCAGAGAAGGAGAGAAACATCAATGATGAGTGAGAATCATTGATTAGCTGCCTACTGCATGCCCAACACTGAGGATTGAGCCCACAACCGAGGCATGTGCCCTGACTGGGAATCGAACTATGATCTCCTGGCTCATAGGCTGAAGTTCAGATCTGCATTTGTTTCCATCTCCACTTGATTGTTGTACATATTAAAATTTTAGAAGTACTGTTTAGTTTTCACTGAGAATGAATTCTCAACCTAAGAAATATAAATGCTTGATCCTCTATGATTCAAATATAGCACTCAAAAATGGATATGCCTGTGTTGGTGCCTTTATTTTTAAAATTTATCTTCCAGAAAAGTAAAGCTTCTACAGTGGTTTTGTGGATCATATGTCATCCTCCTTTCTCAAAATACTTGAGAGAATGTTAGTGTCAAAATGATCTTATTGGATAATTCAGGATACTTTTAGGTCAAAACTGGTTCCATTAACTCTGTTTTCATATTGGGTCACATGATGAGCTCTACCCATGGCCACTTGAGTAATTTTTTTTTTTTTTAAATTTCAGGGACAGTTGACCTTCAGTGATGTGGCCATAGAATTCTCTCAGGAGGAGTGGGCGTGCCTGGACCCAGCTCAGCGGAAACTGTACATGGACGTGATGTTGCAGAACTACAGGAACCTGGTATTCCTGGGTGAGGACCACTTCCTTCCAGAATTTCTCCTCCACCCGCAGTGTTTTGTTTTCTTCATTAGTACAGTGTCTGCTTGTAGCATCTGCTTTTTATGATAGCATTTCAGATCTGTGTTATTAAGGAAAGAAATTGGTGTTTTGCTATTGTACTTGCAAGTGGAAATCAGGATTGGAAAACTTTAAATGTAGTCTCTGGTATGGTAAAGGTGCTGTCAAAAAATAATATTTGGGGGGATAATTTTCTAGAATACTCTGGTATTCTACAATGTCCTATCCTGTCACTTCTTGAGCACAGGGACCAGATTGGAAATTGGAGAATCTCCATTAAAACTCATGTTCTTTTTTTCTCATAAACAGGTCTTACTGTGTCTAAGCCAGACCTCACTTTTTTGGAGCAAATGGAGGAGACCTGGGAGTTGGAGGAAGAAAAGACTGTAGTCATCCACCCAGGTAGGTGGGAATGAAGGAAGCAGCTGACCCAGGTGGGAGGCCAAAGGTCAGAGGAAATCAGACCTTAAACTATGGTCTGGAAGGATCTGTTTTAAGGGAAATGATTTTTTAGAGGATGAGGTTTATTTCTGTTTCTGTGTTAGAGGGACAGATCTTCTCCAACACTTAGATGACTGTCATCTAAGGATTCTCCTTCTGCTCCTTGATCTTCCATCACATTTGCAGTCCGCTTCAAGCAGAATAATTTCCTTGTAAAGTATTCTTTATTTCAATTAGTGTGAGGGTGGTATGACCTGACTGCTTTTGCATTTTGTTGGGGAATGTGGGAAACTTTGTGAATCTTGCTGAGGAATTCTATATTAAACCAGTTTTTAAGTCTGTTTTCTGCCTCATGTAAGTAGTTTGTGAGAGAAGTGGTTGAGATACTAGAATTTGGTTCCCACATCCCAGGAACACTGGGAATAGGTGTCCAAGTTATCTTATTCTTCCTTCTTCATGATCAAGTCTGTTGCTGATGTTTCTATTTAAATTCAGATACTGTATTCTTCAGTTCCCAATCTCTGTTTGGTTCTCTTTTATATTTTTAGATGCATTTTTAGTTTTGTCATGCATAGGTTTGGTGGTAATACTTAGTTTTCTATGTTTTTTGCTCTATTTTCCAATTGAGCCCCTTTAAGATGGTTATTTTGAATTCTTTGTCAGGTAATTAATAGATCTTCATTAACATAGGGCTGACTTATGGAGACTTACTTTGTTCCTCTGGTTGGACTATGTTTTTCTGTTTCTTTGTATGCCTTGTGATCTTTTGTTGCTATTTAAGGTCATGAGAAGCAGATGCCATCCATTTCTTTATGAACTTGCTTGGTATAGGAGAACACAAAGAACAATGAGTTGTGGTAGATTTTTAATGGCCTGTCAAACCTATTCTGGAAAATGTAATCAGTGTGTGTGTGTGTGT